ATATAATATATATATATATATATATAACGAGTTAATTAAATACGCAAGGAAAACTAACCCTTTATTTCCGTCTGGACGTACACATATTGATTGACATTTTGTAACTCTTAACTCCAGGCATATATGATATGGATGAAAGCCAAGCACCGAGACACAATCTCCCTAGCTGCGGCATACAACAGGTCTACATCTGCTGGGTCTTTTGCTCCGGCAGAGCAGCATCGGCACCTACCACTGCTGCAGTGCAGCATTACCACTTGCTTCAGCAGCAAAAGCACCAGCAGTATTTAGTACGTGTTTGCCTGATGTGCTGCTTACTTGATTATTTCCTCAGGTTCGTGGATTGTCCGGTAGCGAATGACCTCTTCTACAACTGAAACCTCCACGATCTTCTCAACCCACTTCTGAACATACACCGGCTTTTCAACAATGTTTTCGCGGATTTCAACTTTAGGAACAAGTTTCGTCTTGTATATCACTTCGGGAACCTCTACTACGCGTTCTACCCACTCAATCTGGGGAACTTCTACTATCTGAACGCATGAAAAGAAGAGACGAAACAGCAGGTACGTAGAGACAAAGACACAAAAGCTTCATTTGGAGCGTTCCGAGAATGATGTGCGTGGTTCCTTGCTGCCTGAAACCTTAAATCCGATAAGCTCATTCCGCGGAGTACCTTCTCGATGTACTTGGGAACCAGCTTGGGGACTTCAACGATTTTTTCTTTGATCACAGGCTTCGGTACGTAGACGTCAACTGTTCTGGTGACAGGCACCTCCACTGTCCTAGTCACTATATCAACAGGCTGATACGCAGTGACCTCCAGCTGCAGCAACCCACCAGCACAAGCTCCCCAGCGCACCCTCAGCCTTGCAGGGTAGTCAGCTCAGAACCCCCCTATCTGCCCTGCTGATCGCTTGAGCAGGCATCTGCACTAGCCTTAAGTTTATATTTCACTGCTGCTCCTTGTCGCAGTTTTTCATCTCTTTCTGTTTTTCTGTTTCGCTCTTTCTCGGTATATATATATATATATATATATATATATA